TGCCTGCAATTTGGCAGTTCAAATCTCACCAGGCTCAAGGTTGACTCAGCCTTCCATCCTTCTGAGGTGGGTAAAATGAGGACCCAAATTGTTGGGGGCAATATGCTGACTCTGTAAACCGCTTAGAGAGGGCTGTAAAGCACTGTGAAGCGGTATACAAGTCTAAGTGCTATTGCTATTGCTATTATTAATTTATGTTAGATTTTGAGCAATATTGTTTATAAATTTTTGCCCAGAGGTTAATACAAAGGTAGCTGTGTCATAGAACCAAGAAAGCTTTATTGTTATGTGCATGAAAAGTTTTAATTAGTTGAAGGATTTCCATATAGTATGTGTGTGTTATGAATTTGGCTTCCATTGACTTCTGGCTATAATTCATAAATTGTAGTTTTTAATCCTGAAAGACATTCAGTGATGGAATATTAAGGCTCTGTGCTGGAGTTATGCTACAATGCAAGAGCTTGACAATGTTGTGGGATAAGATAAATGAACTAAAAGTCAACAGTAAAGCTAAAAGGTCGATAAAAGAGCCAATCAAAACATACTAGAATGAGGATTGGTATTGCTCAACAAAGAATCCCAATCAGAAAAGGCGCCTTTTCTTTTCATTTTGTGATATAGAAAGGCAATCTTTAGTTTGTGGTCATACAATATTTTTGAGGAACCTGAGGGCCACAGTAGAAAAAGCAGTATCGCAAGATGGGTTGAGCTAACTATTTCCATTGCTTTAGAGGGGCTCTCCAATAAATTCTCTTAAATATGTGTTAGAATTTTCACCGCATTCTTAAAGTATTGTCGGACTCAAAAAGTTGTGCCATCAATTTTCCATAAGTTTCTGCTTAAAGAAGAATCTGGGGCCATGAAAAACGGGCATAGAGCCTCAGGCTGCCTTTCCTCGGTCAAGGAGAATCTAGCGGTCAAACGAGAGTAGTGAGAAATTGTGTGGTCATGATTATTATATATTTGTATCTGTACTAAAGTGGAAGTTACTCTTCTACTTTTTTCATATATTTTTTCTTTTCAGGTTATACTTAAAATTCTTTTTCTCACTTCTCTCTTTTTCTAACTTTTCTATTATTCTGTGCTTTATCAGTTTTTGAAACTCTATAAATGTATGTGTACGTAAGAGAGATTGTGTGGTCATGACGCATCATTAGAAGAGAAATAGGGAGCTGGTTAGTAGTTGCTTGAGCAAGGAAAGCAAATGCTGGACACGCACAGAATTTATTCACTCCTGTCCCTGAAGTTCTCAGGGACACAGCTTTAAAACAAAATCCATCCCCTTTGAAGCTTTGATCATTCACACCATTAAATCAAGTTATAAAGTCCAAATAAAGAGATAAGACAGAGAAGTATGACAAGGCTGTATATTTTCCCCCTATTTATTCAACCTGAATGCTAAATATATATTAAGGAAGATGACTGTGGTTTATAAAATTGGAAGGAGAAACATCAATAATCTGCACTATGCTGATGACGCTATTCTGATAGCTGAAAATGTTAAGGATCTGCAAGCTTGAGTAATGAAACTCAAAGAGTACAGTGGGGAAAAAAAAGGGGGGGGACTAAAATTGAATGTAAAGAAGGCCAACTAATGATAATAGGTAGAACAACCAGCCTTAGAATTGACTATAAAGATATTGAAGTGATGGATAGTTACTGCATTTTAGAATGAACTATCAACAGTAAAGGAATAAGCAGTCAAGATCCATCCATGATGGATCTGCACCTACAAAGATCAGAAGTAGGCAAGTAATGGCATTTCCATATGGAAGTGAAAGCTATACTTTGAAGGAGCAGGTTAGGGAAAGTATTGATGCTTCTGAATTTGGTTGGTGAAGAATCCTGTGAATACCAAGAAAACAAACAAATGGATCATTGAGCAGATCAATCTAGAGGAACAAGTGACCAGGCTTAAGGTATCCTAGTTCAGACACATAATATGAAGACTTAGTTCTCCAGAGAAGGCTTGAATTCTGGGAGTGGTGGAAAGAAAGAGAAGACAATGACCAGCAGTAAGGTGGACAGATAGTTTACAGTAGCCATGTGTGCATCATTGGAACACCTGAAAAACTGAATTAAGAGCAGAATCACCCTGGAAAAACTTTATCCATGTGGTGTCCAAGAGTTGACCACAACTTGATGGCACATCATGCTGTTCCCCTTCCCACACAAATCCTGGCACTTCTATTGGCCACATTTTCTGCCTGGAAGTGAGCTGGTTTGAAGCTCTGTTGAAGGGTGGGGGAATTTTTATAGGCCTCAGTACAGAAGTCCATGATGCCAAGCGCCAGGAAAATTGGGAGATCCAGACAGTTCAAATGTTTATTATAAGCTTAAGCTCTCTACAAGAATCTGAACTACTAACAGCCAAGGGAAACTAGCGGGAGATGAGAATAGAAGGAATTCAAGGTGGGCTCGACTTAGATCTCTTGTGGGCACGAAGGGACTCATGACTGATGATGCATTTGACACCTCCCTCGGGTTCAGCATGATCATCTCGTATACATATGATCGATTTTCTTTAGTTTTCTCTCTGTCATCAGCTTATCTGCAGTCATCCTTCTTTAACAGGAAACTTTTAGCTCAGCAAACACTGAGTTTTTTGTTCATTTTTCTCCAGTGGTGAGGTTTATTCTCAAGGAGGCTGGTGTTTTTCTTTCATCACAGACTGCTGCATGCATAGTGGAGGATTTGTGGTTTCAGGCTCGGTAGCACACATTCCCTTTTCTCACAGCTTTTCTAAAAGTTGCTTGTGTGCCAGGAATTGATTAGGGAAACGTTCTCTGTTTTACTCCCAGTACAACCATAGCTGCTGTCAGTGATTTGCATATTTTTCTAAAAAATTATATCGTTAATTTTTATGATTCTTTGGCCAATTTTTTTCACAGTGAAAATTATAACATCTGCATAATTCTAGAGAAATCAGGGTTGGAGTCCTTGTTGAAGTGGGGTTATAGGAAGGAAACTAGCAGGCTAAAAAAAATCAGCCTGATTTTTGTGTAATTCATTATAGCTGCCCAGAATTGTCTTGATTACCAACAGTGTTGCAAGCAATTGAGATGCAGCTGAACTATTTCTGCAGTGCTAATGATAGCAATAGCACTTAGATTTCTGTACCGCCACATAATGCTTTACAGCGCTCTGGGTGATTTTACAATGTCAGCATATTGCCCCCGATCATCTGGGTCCTCATTTTACTGACCTCGGAAGGATGGAAGGCTGAGTCAACCTTGAGCCCTGTCAGGATCGAACTCCAGGCTATGGGCAGAGTTAGCCTGCAATACTGCATTCTAACCACGGCGCCACCTAATGGTAACAGAAAACAGTTCTCTCAAGGTCATCCAAGGTATTGAGAGCAGGATTTACACCCCGCAGGATCAGGGCAGACATGGTCCCTTGGAGTGAAAGCAGTGGTGGATTTCAAAATTTTTTACTACCGGTTCTGTTGGTGTGGCTTGATGGGTGTGGCATGGCTTGGTAGGCGTGACTTGGTGGGCATGGCAGGGGAAGGATATTGTAAAATCTCCATTCGCACCCCACTCCAGGGGAAGGATACTATAAAATCTCCATTCCCTCCCCACTCCAAAGGAAGGATACTATAAAATCTCCATTCCTGCCCCAATCCAGGGGAAGGTTACTGCAAAACCCCCTTTTCCTCCTGATCAGCTGGGACTTGGGAGGCAGAGAATAGATGGGGGTAGGGCCAGTCAGAATTTTTACTACCAGTTCTCCGAACTACTCAAAATTTCCACTACCGGTTCTCCAGAACTGGTCAGAACCTGCTGAAACCCACCTCTGAGTGAAAGGGTCCTCCTTCCAGCTTTCTACTCAGCTTCTCTTCTCTCATGGAGCTTAATGCTTTCCTCTGCAGTGAGGGAATAATGGCTCCCATCAACTCTCCATGGAGAAGACAACATTTTTCTGCATTCGTGTGTTAAGTGCTTAGATATATTTGTGTGTACCTGCTCTTCAGCACATATTTGGCTGTCTAACCTTGTGCGCACTGAGTTACACATGCATCTCTGTGTGTATAAGTGGGTGTACTGTCGTATCAGGTCTAGGCTAAATACGTTCATATTTCCTACCACTCTATAGGATGAGTCAGGCAAGGATTAATTCCCATCTGGTGTTTCAGGATTGTTTCAGACACCCCTTAAACAATTATCCTGGAAATATCACAGAATGCCCAGATAAAAAAACAGTCCTGTTTTTTCTGACAGGTACTCCTATATAATGAATATTATTACAAGGATGCTATTTTCTATTTTAATTTAATGTATATACTGAGATTTTCCATTTCCATATATTTACAGCCTCGACAAAGATTCCTTATTCTCCAAACTAACTCTGCCCATATTGTTAAGACATATGTGCTAGTCGTTCCCAACTCTAGGGGGCGGTGCTCATCTCTGTTTCTAAGCCGAACAGCCAGCTGTTACCTTCCCACCAAGGTGGTCTCTATTTTTCTACTTGCATTTTTACATGCTTTTGAACTGCTAGGTTGGCAGAAGCTGGGACAAGTAACGGGAGCTCATTCCATTAAGCGGCACTAGGGATTCAAACCGCTGAATTGCTGACCTTTCTGATCGACAAGTTCAGCATCTTAGCCACTGAGCCACCGCATCTCCATATTATTATGAGTCCTCTTATACCAGGAACTGTATTTCATAGCACCTGAAAGTACTTCCTTTAACTCTCTCTTATAGTCTGGCTCAATATCAACATCTCTATACTGATTGTTATATCAGTGTTCCAACCTGCACTTTGTATACTACTAAAACTCTGATTCTTGGAAATACCCGAAATAGGCAGGCATATATCAAAGCATTGCAACTACTTTATTTGTCTACACTGCTTTGCACAGAAACGTTTTATAAACATACATGATGGTGAATAAAGAGGAGGAAGGAGTATGGTGTATGTTCCCTGTGAGTTATTTATAATAAATGTGGAGTAAAAATCAACTATTTTTTTTTCTTTTTTACCTTTTGTTGCAGAAAGTTAGTGAAAAAGTTGGTGGAGCGGAAGGAACCAAGCTAGATGAGGACTTCAAAGAAATGGAAAGGGTGAGTCTGGGAGTTAATTGCTCTGGTATCATTTACTGCAGCATTCCCCAAGTGGATTTTTATATATTTTGTCAAACAACATAACATTTGGATGTTACAATTTTCTAAGTTGCTTATCTAGAGTTAGACAACATAATTAGTATAACTGGTATTATTTAGATCAGATCAGCTCTATCATCTAGAGCAGGGGTGTCAAACTCGATTTCATTGAGGGCCGCATCAGAGTTGTGTTTGACCTCGGGGGTAGGGGGGCGGTGTGGGTGTGGCCAGGATAGGTGTGGCCAGCTTGACATCACTTATGTTGGAGGCGCCTGTGGTGGCCTGAGCACTCTGCCAGGGAAAACAGGCTCCCGAGCTCCTTTTTTGGCTGTGACTCCTGCAGCCCTCTGCCAGTGAAAACAGAGCTCGGGGGGGGCACGTGCGGCTCTTTCAGGCTCTGTTTTTGGCTGTGATGGCCTCCTGCAACCCTCTGCCAGTAAAAACGAAGCTCGGGAGCTCCGTTTTCTCTTTTACTTTTATTTACTTTTATTTGATTTGTATACCGCCCTACTCTCGAAGGACTCAGGGTGGTATCTGACAGAAGCACCACAGGCCAGTCCTTCACTGTTTCCACGGCAGCCCCGTGGGCCAGATCTAAGCACCCCACGGGCCGGATCTGGCCCTGGGCCTTGAGTTTGACCCCCCTGATCTAGAGTGAAGTTTTATCAACTTCTTACTGTGTTGGGGCCTCATCCCTCAATTCCCACACTGCTGCATTTTGGAAGTTACAGTCCCGCTATATTAGGTAGGAGAAGATTTACCGTATCTAAAAGTTCAAGAGATGATTGGGAAAGGAGCATCCAGACTTGCCAGCAGTTGCCCATACTTCTTGTCTGTGTGACACCTACTTTAAATAAAATGGTGGGCTGTCAAGTGGTTCTTGCACTGATAGGAGGAAATTATTGGGTACGTCATGTTCTAATAAACTGTGCCAAACTTCAGAGGGAGAAGCAAAGCAATGATTCAAGGAATACTTCCTTCATGAATGGAAATTGCAAGGCCAGGTGCATAGCAAATTGAAGATGGAAGAATCCTATTACCATCCTCCTTGAAAAATATACCTTATTCTAATAAAAGGTTTGATTGTTCTTAGCGATCTTGGGGAGGATGTCTGTTCTCCTACCTTGCAATGAAGACTTGGGAAATAACAGTCCAAGAATGTTCAACAACAATAAGTTGACCAGATTTTGGAGAGGTGGGGGTGAACAGGACATCTGCACTTTGAATAGTTCTGTTCAAGAATGACAGTCATACACAATATACAGATTTGGAAGTTATACCCAGAAATCTAATGGATTCCTCAAACTCCATCTACAAAACCTGTGCATATAGAGGTGAACAAAAATATATGAAAACTATTATTGCAAAACCAGTGTAGACATGGCATGGCACATTTTTAGAAATAGAGAGCTTTTTTCCCCACTAGGACAGTGATGAGTTTCTACCGGTTCGCCCTGGTTCAGGCGAACTGGTAGTGGCGGCGGTGGGAGGCTCCGCCCACAGGCCTGGACTTGAGCGTGCGCATGCGCGCACTCACAGTTCCGAGCCAGTAGCGAAGGTAAGTGAAACCCACTACTGCACTAGGAGCAAAACTCTCAATTGATCACATGAGCCTTCTCCCAGCTGCCTTTTGCACTTTTCATAAATACTTATGAAATGAAAATATGTATTTAAATCACAATGGTTTGGACACTGTTTTATAGCATGATGTTCTAAAGCTCTATGGATGGAACTTGCTGTTGGAATCTTTTTAATTTCCTCTGGGGCCTGATACTTTATAGCTGTGGTTGGAATCTCTTAAACTAAAATGCCTCTTGCATTTTAAACAGGTGATTATAGGGTACATCTCCATATTGCCTTTTGTTCTTACTCAGTCTTCATACAATCAATAGCACTGAGAAGTATAACCTTGAAGGGATACATGTTCACAGTCTCCTTATGCAAGTGGGTGATTCTTGGCTTAACCTAATTTACAGAATGATTGCAAGTATTTAGCAGATGTGATAGTTTATGTCTCTTTGAATAAGGTGGGAATGTATCAGTGGTGAAATGTAAAATTTGTTACTACTGGTTCTGTGGGCGTGGCTTGGTGGTGGTGGTGGTAATGTGACTGGGTGGGCGTGGCCAGCTTTTTTTTTTTTTACTTTTAAAAGCATTTTTTCTACAACCTCTTCAGCCGAAGGTTGCAGAAAGAAATGCTTTTAAAAGCCTCTGACGATCCCAGCTAAGCCACGTGATCATCAGAGGCTTTTTTTTTTTTTTTTACTTTTAAAAGCATTTTTCCGAAGAGGTTGTGGAAAAAATGCTTTTATAAGTTAAAAAAAAAAAGCCTCTGATTATCGCACGGTTCAGCTGGGCATGGTGGGTGGGGGGCACAGGGATTTTTGCTACCGGTTTTCTGAACCACCCGCCACCATCACTACCGGATCAGGCGATCTGATCCGAACCGGGAGCATTTCACCTCTGGAATGTATGCGTGTGTATACACATACACACTTACTTACTCCTAATAAATAATTGGTGGTTTCATATAAAGAGATATAATAAATCAATTAATGAGGCACTATCCCATTTCATTAAAGGTAATTCTTGCCTGAATCTAGCCAGAAAGCTACAGCAGAATCCGCACTTTGAAGTTGCTCTTATTAAGCTTTTCCTGCTTCTGATTTTATGGTCAAGGCCTTTCCATTTTATGCTGATGCTTGGAGACCTCAATTAGGCCAGTCCTTGTCGATGCTAAGCATTGTAATGACGTGTAATAAACTTTAATTATTCCCCAGGCTCCCAAAGAGCTTCTTGTCATCTGGCAACAAGCAGGTGGGTGAACAAACAAAAGGTGGGCGTGCAGCGGAAATTAATAATGTGAGAGAATATCTGTGTGTGTGCAGCAGTGCAGCTGCACATCAAAAGAAGTGACTAGAGATGTCATTAATGGGGTTAGCCAAGCAAGAGCATTAGGGCTGTTTTCAGTTCTCTGTCCAAACCGTCAGCAGCTCACCCGCACCCCTCCCCACATATCTCACTTCTGGATGCCTGGGGAAATCAATCTGAAATATTAACCGAGTAGATGCATTTTTAATGGAGGAGTGGGCTTCAAAGGATAGAAAATGAGCATGGTTTCAAGTTGCTGGTGGTTAGGGTGGCACGGTCAGCCTGAAACATGGCTACTGGGAAGGGAAGGGAGGAAGGAAGGAAGGAAGGAAGGAAGGAAGGAAGGAAGGAAGGAAGGAGGACCTTTACTTCTTATGCTTGCTCCATAAAATGGAGAAGCTTTAGCCTGTTCTGTGTTTCAAAATATAATAGAAACCTTAGCAGATGGAAGAGGGGAGGGGAGAAGGAAGGGGTCCCTCATTTTCTTTGCTAGTAACTCAGAATAATGATGTCCCAAATGTCCTATTACTGTGAAAGGAAGGTAATTTAAACCAAGCCCTCACAAAAATCAAAGCAGCAAAATGCGTATCTATAGACACACATACCTGCACATGTGCACGTGGAGAGAGAGAGAGAGAGAGAGAGAGAGAGAGAGAGAGAGAGAGAGAGAGAGAGAGAGATTAAAATCCTGTGTGATAGCAACAGCAATAGCACTTAGACTTACTGGTATATACTGCTTTACAGTGCTTTACACCCTCTCTAAGTGGTTTAGAGTGTCATCCTATTGCCCCAAACAATCTGGATCCTCATTTTACCCACCTTGGAAGGATGGAAGGCTGAGACAACCTTGAGCCTGGTGAGATTTGAACTGCCAAATTACAGGCAGCCAGCAGTTAGCAAAAGTAACCTGCAGTACTGCACTCTAACCACTGCGCCATTGTGCACCACCCTGGCTCTTAAATGCTATTGCTAAGTGCTATTGCTATTCCATTTCCCCCACAATAACCACCCTGTGAAGTGGTTGGGCTGAGAAGACTGACCCAAAGACATTTAGATGACTTTCATGCTTAAGGTCGAACTTGAACTCCCAATCTCCTGGTTTCTAGTCTGGGTCTTAACTACTTAACCAAAGAGGCTCAGACTCTACTTTTCAATTTCAAAAGTTTCAGCTTCAGTTGAAGTTGGCAATGCCAGGGTGATAAAATGGGGAAGGTGGGCATTGTATAGGACTTCTATCTCTATGTGTGTTTGCTTGTGTGTGTTTGTGTGTCTGTCTGTCTGTATGTATGCAGATTTTATTTTGACTATTGTGGTTAATTTATTTTTGACATTCTGAGTTGCTTAAAATTTGAATCAGTAATATAAATAAGTAAGCAAATTGTGCCTCCTGCCCAAAAGCAGGCCAAGAATTAAAAAATAATAATAATAATCAACTGAAACTATCAAAAACTATTACCCATAAAGTGTCCCTTTATAAAATCAGTTAGTCTTCCATCTGCATCCAATCAATCTTTCTCAGCTGTATACCTACAGACCATGGCCCTTCCTTTCATGGAAAAAGCAGAAAAAAAGAGAATGGGGGAAGTGGGATGAAGGCCTTAGAACCAGGGCAATGATCATGCAATAGGGAAAGAAGAGAGCCAAAAAGGAAGGAAGGAAGGAAGGAAGGAAGGAAGGAAGGAAGGAAGGAAGGGAAGGAAGGAAGGAAGGAAGGAAGGAAGGAAGGATACTCCCCACCAGCTTCACACAAAGGAACTCAAGGGCAGAAGTTGGCAGGAAGTTGCTTCCACTCTCATTTCTTTTTTTGTCCACCTGTTTCTGTGTTTGGGTAAAGAAGTATCTCTGAAACGATGGCACAATAGGACACCAAGGGGCTCTGCTCTGTAATATTGAGATGTGGAAGAAGAAATAACAAGGGTGTTGAATTTATTTTTTCCATTCTTATTTGGGGAATCTTTCCTTCCCTTTCATTTTGTAATTGCAGAAAGTGGATGTCACCAGTAGGGCTGTGATGGAAATAATGGCGAAGACAATTGAATATCTTCAACCCAATCCAGGTATGTCTACTTCAATTTGAATCAGAGAATATTTGAATTTATAGAGCATTTCAGATAGTTACAAAGAATATGTTACAAAGAACTTGACTCATTTTACACACACACACACACACACACACACACACACACACACACACACACACACACACAGGGTGGGGGGGGCAGAATGCAGCACAGGCTCTCTCCTGCATGAGTTTTCTAAATTCTTTTTTTTTTTTTTATTGAAAAAGTTTTCAAATACAAATTTTTCCCCCTTTTTTCCTTCCACCCTCCTCCCTAACCCCCCCTCGCCACCCATCCCCCCCCTGTGACTTCTTCACACCAAAAACCTAATTCATAACAGATTACATAACATAATAGTTACCATCTCCTTACACCCTCCTCTATATACTGACCCTTACTTACTAAAAATATTATTGATATTGTTACTTTCCCCTTTTACCATACTTTCAAAAAAAAGCAGTCTACTATAACATTGTATGATAACTTCTAATTTAGCATAATATTATTATAACTCCCAATTTAGCAATAATCTGCCCTTTTTTGTCCTCCCCAAAACTTATATCTATTATTCTAATCTTAACATTTCAAAGCAACCTTTCCCACTTTAAGACTATATAATAAATCCTACTTTAAACATTTATTCTTTGTGTATATTAATATAACATTTCAAAGCAGCCTTCCCCCATAAATCCTAATTTACCATTTATTCAACTATTTCCTTTCCTCCACTGCCCTAAATATATCACTTAAACATCCCTTTTCTTAAACTAATCAATCAGTAAATATCATATTTCCACCCACTTTCCTACAAAATTACCATGCACAACAATTCTTAATATCTTTAAATCCACTGCCCACTCTGCTAAAATATAATATATATATTATGTATTTATTCCGTTATTTAAAAAAAAAAAAAACAATAACTTTACATTTATAATCCATATAATATCTTCTTTGATGTCTTTCCACTGGATTGTTGAGTCCCTCATCCATAATTGGGTAACGTAGCATCCTGGTGCAACAGTTTGTTCAAAGTCTTCAGTCATCATCTGCCCCCATCAGTAATGAATATCCTCAATATATATAAAAGTAAAAACAACCACCCGAGATGACATTATGATTATATTCCATATAGTTGTAATTGTGGCTTTCATCAGGATTATTAATTCCCATCATCCTAATGGGTAACAACCAGATCTTCTGCATGCCCCAACGTAGCTCTCTTGCCTTGTAGCTCAGAATAGTTATAATATATTTATCAATACAAAAAGAAATCCAAAATAGATATTCAAATCCAACAGTTTAAGGCTCTTTTCACATCCCAAAATTACGGCATTGCAGAGGTCTGTCACTATCCTCAGGATGATATTAACCAATACTTCGCCTCCACTATCTTTTCACATATTCATTCATTTTTTTAAAATCACCATGGCTTCACCATTGCTTAATTTAGAATTTCTGTTTTGTGAGACCTATTTTTTCTTTTCTTTTTGTGGGTTTAATTTCCATCCTGTTTTCCTTTCTACAAGTTGTATATCAACTGATCGGTTTTCATTCTGCTTTATAAGTTGATCTTGTTGGTTTGTTTTTGTATCTCATATTTCTTTTTTGCCAATTGTATGTCAGCTAATTGATTTCCATACTTGTCTTTGACTTGGTGAATCATCACGTTGAAATCAGATGCCGCTTCTCTCATATTTGTAGATAATCCAGCTGGGGTATCGAGAGAATCCAAAGGCAATTTGTCTACCGCAACCTCTGTAATTCGATGTTTTCCCTTTATTTCCAACTCCTTCTGCTTATCCTGTATTGTGCCTATAGATGTTAAGTTCATTTTCAAAATTTTTGATAAAATTCTTCCGCTTTTTCAACAGTATCTAATTGGTATCTTTCTCCTTGATATCTCAATATTATGCCAACTGGGGCATCCCACCTAAATGAAATATTTCTGTATTTTAACTCAGTCACCAGAAAACCAAATTTCTTCCTTTCCGTTAACATCTTGGGGGGGAGCTCTTTGTAGATCCATATCTTTCTTCCATACAATTGCAAAGTAGAATTGAAGGAATTTTGCACAATATTATTCCTAATTTCTTTATCTGTAAAATAAATCACCACATCTCTAGGCAATTGCCTTTGCTTTGCAATCCAGGAGTTTATTCTGTCAATCCTACAAAACACTTCCTCAGGTTGAACCTTTAAAATCCCAACCAGAATTTCAGAAGATATTTTCCTTAAATCATCTCTGTTATTTTCCTGCAAACCTCTCAGTCTGATCGCATATTCTGTAAAATTGTAATGCACCATTAGAACCTCTCTTTCAATCCGTTGTTGTAAATTTTCTGCATTACAAGACTTTTGTTCAACCTCCATTTTAGGTTTTCTTCTGAGCTATTGTCTTGAATGTTTGTCAAATCATTTTCAATTTTTTGTATTTTATTGTCCAAATTGTCCTCAATTTCTTCCACTTTAGACTCTAATAAGTTAGTATTTTCACCCAACTTAATCATAAATTCTGCAAAGCCATTAGCCATTTTTATAATCTTTTGATCCAGAATATCAAACTTTAATTGCACTAATTCTTTAATTTCCTGCTTAAATTTTCAAAGTTCTGATTCACAATCTCATCCCTTCTTACAAATCTCCTCCAAAAGAAATTCAATTATATTAAAATCAGTTTTCTGAGACTGGAGCTTTAAAACTTGGTCACGTAATTTGTTAATGGGGAATCCCCCCCCCATTGCTTGTTTGTCCGGCTTTAATGCCATATTTCAACACAGACAAACTATTTTTAAAAAAAAAAAGAAAAGAGGCAGCAGAGAAGAAAAAGTTCTTTCCAACCAAGATCAATATCAGATCTCCAGGAAGAGAAAAAACACAAAAGTAGAGCTTTATTTTCAAGTGTAGCCAAAAGTATTTATTCAGCTACTTTGTATCTAAATAGGAAACGGAAGGACTCTCCCTTTCAGCCCCTTCTCAAGCCTCGGCAATCGCCCTTTTTAAAGATTCTTTTTTCCTTTTCCTTCTTCAATAATTGTTATAAAGGAAGGAAGGAAGGAAGGAAGGAAGGAAGGAAGGAAGGAAGGAAGGAAGGAAGGAAGGATACTCCCCACCAGCTTCACACAAAGGAACTCAAGGGCAGAAGTTGGCAGGAAGTTGCTTCCACTCTCATTTCTTTTTTTGTCCACCTGTTTCTGTGTTTGGGTAAAGAAGTATCTCTGAAACGATGACACAATAGGACACCAAGGGGCTCTGCTCCGTAATATTGAGATGTGGAAGAAGAAATAACAAGGGTATTGAATTTATTTTTTCCATTCTTATTTGGGGAATCTTTCCTTCCCTTTCATTTTGTAATTGCAGAAAGTGGATGTCACCAGTAGGGCCGTGATGGAAATAATGGCGAAGACAATTGAATATCTTCAACCCAATCCAGGTATGTCTACTTCAATTTGAATCAGAGAATATTTGAATTTATAGAACAAAGAATATGTTACAAAGATCTTGACTCATTTTACACACACACACACACACACACACACACACACACACACATATACACACACACGGGGGGGGGGGGCAGAATGCAGCACAGGCTCTCTCCTGCATGAGTTTTCTAAATTCTTATTTGCCATTTTCTTCTGTTTCCATCTTATTACAAATTACTTGACAAAGGAAAGGAACGATCTGTCTTTCTTGAAGGATAATAACTGTAACTATATTTTTTAAAAAAACCTTTTAAGAATGAGATTTCAGAACTTAAGTGTACAGTTTAGCTGTGTCTTTTTCACAATAGTCAGAATTGCAGTATTCAGGATAGTTTTCAAGTTTAAGCAATGGTAACCATGTTGGACACACAGGAAGTTGTCCAGCAGTGGGCTTCACATTTTGCTGCTACGGGTTCGCTGCGCGCATGCACCTTCCATGCATGCGCTTTGCTCACGCATGCATCTTCTGCACATGCTCCCAGCCTCAAAAACGTGGGACAGGTAATAGGAAATAGGACAGTATTGAGCCGGGGCAGGTAGGCTGGCCCACCCGTGATCTCTGCTACCGGTTCGCCCGAACTGGTACGAACCGGTTCAATACCACCTCTGAAGTTGTCCTACTCTTGTGCTTTACCTTTGTTTTGACCCAAAGCCTTTCCCACTGCTGAATTGCAGTGCTATCCACCTGTCCTTGAATCGACAGAAAATAAAACCAGCAGAAAATTTGCTCTCTTCATGGCAATTCCAATTCAATTTCTGTTGCCTCTGTTCCCAGGCACTACCATCATCAATTTCTGTCTGTTAAATAAATTTTATGCACCTTGAGGTTCCCCTAGGATAGGACTCTCAAATTCGTGGCCTATGGGCTGGATGCATCATGTGCTGGCCACGCCCGATTTAGCGAAGGAAAAAAAAATCCCGATATATCACATGACGCTGCCATGACGCCGCAAGTTTGACACCCCTGCCCTAGGATATGGTGAGGAAAGGAAAAAATACTACTTTAACCAGTAGAATTTAGGACAACTTAAGCTTGTCTTATTCATGGTTTACGGATGTAGGGAAGACAATATCATAGCAACATGACCAAAAAAACCTCGACCTATTGCCAGAGTATGTTTTTGTTGCCATTACCTGCAAGAGGGAGATGGCCTCAATAATATGGATGTTCTAAGCAATGTTTTAAGATCAGCCTGGACAAAATAGAAGACAAATTCTGAATGAAAAACACATGCAGGCAAAATTAGTGAAGAAAAAGTTGGATTAGGAGACTTTATTCTGAAACATAAGTTGCTGAAAAGCAAACCATAATAAATGATAGCAATAGCAATAGCACTTAGACTCATATCCCGCTTCACAGTGCTTTTACAGTCCTCTCTAAGCAGTTTACAGAGTCAGCATATTGCCCCCAACAATCTGGGTCCTCATTTTACCTATCTCGGAAGGATGGAAGGCTGAGTCAACCTTGAGGCTGGTGAGATTCGATCTGCCAAATTACAGGCAGCCGGCAGTCAGGAGAAGCAGCCTGCAGTACTGCATTCTAACCACTGTGCCACCGCGGCTCAGTCATATGATTCAGTCATATTGCATTTGTTTCTTCAATGACAGCTAACAAAGATGCGTGTTTCTTGGTTCAACAAGCAAGGTGACATGGACAGACTGTTCTTTCCTTAGTTTCTTCCATCTGAATAAAAAGAAATCTTTTTCACCTAGGTTTCTCTAAGTGTTTCGATATTTTGACTACTCACAATCATGTCCACATATGGTGTCTTTCTTGTGATGTCCCAAGATGCTCGCCCCAACGATTTCCACATATGAAGTTCACACTGATAAATTTTATATTTATCATTTTTAAGAGATGCTAACCCCACACTCACCCAGCAGGTGGCCAAATTCTTCACCAAGTTATACAACGGTGCAAAACTTTTAATTAAATGTGTCATTTTATTATACTATTGTTTTTTCCTTTTCCCAATAACAAATTGCTGTATCAAACTCTCTGTCTTTTTTACTGTAAAGGTTGGTCTAAGACCATAAGAAAAAATCGTAGAAACATAAGGCTGGAAGGGACCTTGGAGGTCATCTAGTCCCACCTCCTGCCCCCATGACAGGAGATTTTAGTCCATCCTGGATAAATGGTTTTTTTTTTCATGTTTTATTTTTTTTATTTATATAACATTCAATTTCCATAAAATAGTGTGTGATCTGGGTACAGTTATTTTTGAACAATTGTAATCCACATATTTGTTGTAGTATCCATCACAATAATATTAATAATCATATAATCATATAACAATAAAATTTAACATCATGTTCTTTAACAACTCTCCACTTTAACATTTCCTCTTTTTATATCTCCTCCTTTCTAACTTCTGTTTCTATTGGTAAAATACATCCCATATCAAAAAATATTCAGTTTCTTCTTTATCCTTAATAGTGAGCATTAATCTATCCATTTCTGTGCATTTTAATATTTTCTTAATTACATTTCCCTATTCAATGAAAACCTCCAGCGATGCAGCACCCACAAGTCCAGGGCAAACTGTTCTATTGATTAATTTTTTAAAAAAAATTTGATTTATATGCCGCCCTTCTCCAGAGACTCAGGGCGGCTTACAATGCGTTAAGCAATAGCCTTTATACTTTTGTATATTTATACAAAGTCAGCTTATTGCCCCCACAAACTGGGTCCTCATTTAACCTACCTTAGAAAGGATGGAAGGCTGAGTCAACCTTGAGCCTGGTAAGATTCGAACCTGCAGAAATTGCAGGCAGCTGTGTTAATAACAGGGTGCATTAAACCACTGTGCTACCAAGGCTCCCATTGTTCTCACTGTCAGGAAATTTCTTCTTAGTTCCATGTTGGATGTTGGATCTCATTTGATTTGACTATTTCAATCAACATTCTCTCAAATCTAGACTGTTCCTATGTGAGAAGGCACTTATACAAAAGTAACCCAGCAGTCCGGAATTCCCACTTTTCTCCTGGAAATTCTTATTCCACTCATTGTCCTATTCCACTCTTCAACAAGAAATTGTGAGAACTGCAGGTTGCTGCAAAGGGGGAGGTAGAAATAAACTCTTTCTTTATAATCAGAACTCTGTTCACTGACATTGTTCATGTTCAACCTTCAAATCCCATTTTAATGGCAAAGGAATGATGAAAAGTATAGTTTAAACATATGTAAAGGATACCAGAAAGGTGGTTAGAAGGCAAACCATACTATTCTCTGTCTGTATTTTCGTATTTTCATGAGGTTGGAGTTAAAATCTGGAAGCTTCTGCACGGTTTAGCATTAGTCTCTCCAAGTTTATCACCATATTTTTATTCTATGATAAGAGGAGAGATGCAGCTCATTCTGTTTCCCTGGTAGATATACCCATGAGATGAGTTTTGAAATTCAACAATATCCCTGATGGGAAAAATAAAATCTTGTAAAACAACCAGGAATGATTTTGGAGCTTCCATAGCTATTCTGGACATGGGGGGCAGACAGTGGTGGGATCCTGCTGGTTTAACAACCAGTTCGGTGATCACGCATTCCGCACACACACATGCCTGACCCACACTGCACGCACGTGCCCAGATTTACAAAAACTTACCTTCCACATTACTGCTGGGGAGTAAAACAGCTGAGGTGCAGCAATCTGCTCTGCCACGAGAATCAGCTGAGAAGATATAGGTCAGTAAAGCGCAGGGGCGGGTGGGAGGGCCCACCTGATCATCGGAGCAAACCGATTTGCTCTCAGCTGATTGTCGGAGCTACCAGTTCACCTGAACCAGTCCGAACTGGTAGAATCCCACTCCTGGGCAGAGGAGAGATAGTGGTAACACCATGGTTGTTTCCGTTAACTTTTCTTTCAGTGAATGCTCTTAAATTACCACCATTAATAAAAGAGCTTATCCATTTCTGGGTCTGAAGACTGGTGTCATGCCTATCTAGAAGGAAACTAAATTTCCCCATGGCTTAAGAATGTTTTGTGACATTTTTCTTTTATGTGAGGTTTTTTATGTCATTTATAGGCACAATTCAGTTTCCAATCTGCCCGGTTTATTGTCTCTGCTGATTAGTTTCCTCTCTGCTTGTAGCCTCCAGAGCCAAACTCAGCATGCTCAACACCATGTCTAAAATTAGAGGCCAAGAAAAAGGACCCGGTTATCCTCAGGCTGAAGCCCTGCTTGCAGATGCCATGCTAAAATTTGGGAAAGAACTCGGAGAAGAGTGCAATTTTGGTAACGTTATCTTTATTGTGTTTCATCTTATAAAAGTAATAAAACTTGGACTGGATTATATCAGTCAGGTCTCAGGTACAAGAAGGCTAACTGGAATATTCATTTCCCTGCTTTGGTATGCCAGAAGTTTCTCTTGTTTGCCATCCAGTGCGTCGGGATTAAAGCACGCTTCTAAACATAAATTGAATTGGGAGTACCCAATTCAAAGGGGAATGATTCTATTTGCTTGTCATTTAGATTCCAAGGTTGGCTGTATCCAGTAGCTTTTGGGGAATTTAAAGTTATGTTTTTTTTAAATTAAGTCTTCACAAGAGGCATGTGCAGAATTTATCAACTGAGAATGGAATGTTCTGGAAAACTCAGGAATATTCTAATGTGCTTTCAGACCATGCTAAATCTCCTCCTGTTTTAGGGACAGTTCATCAGTTTTAGAAGTAAATTTTCTGAACTAGAAGATGCTCAAGGTGTTTCAAACATGGCATTCTAGGTGAAACAGGCCAATCCCAGAACATTCAGTTCACTGATCAGCCAAATTTTAGCACATCTCTAATTCACTACTGAGGTCTTGGATAATAGTTTGGAGCAAATGTAAGCTCTAAATATGAGGCAAGTAATATTTTATTGGGGGGGGGGTTCATTATTCTATTTATTAAGCTATATCCAGTAGTCTGATGATATCACTGAGGACCGGGATGAATTTTCCAGGCAGATTTCTTTTTTTGGGTGTGGGGGAGATGTGGGTTGTAGGTATTTAAGAAGCAAAAGGGAATAAAAATATTCTTGGATCAATTTAAATTAAAATAAAAGCATTTCTGGGTTGTTGTTTTTTCTTTTTAGGCCCAGCTTTAGGTGATGTTGGAGAAGCAATGAGGGAGTTATCTGAGGTGAAGGATGCTTTGGATATTAATGTGAAGCAGAATTTCATTGATCCATTGCAAAATCTCCATGACAAAGATCTGAGGGAAATACAGGTATTGTCACAAATAGGATTTTGTTATGGAATTATCTGGACGTTACAACATTGTGATAGCAGAGATGGTATGCTTTCTGAACTGGCAGGCCCCAAAACCCAGAGCCTCAGTCTTGCCAGGGTTTAGTTGAAACCTGTTGGTCTCCATCCAGGCCCTCATAGCCTCCAGGCACTGGGAAAAAGCATCAACAGCATTTCTTAATTTGCCAGCAACAGAAAAGTATAATTGGATATCATCAGCATAGTGATGACATCTCATGCCATAGTGACAGATGAGCTCACCCAGCAGCTTCATGTAGATGTTAAGGAGAAGTAGAAAAATCAACTCCCTGCCTATAATGATTTCTTAATTGATCATGTCTACTCCATTAAAAAAATGAAATCACAATGCATGCCTAGCAATAAAGCTGAAACTTGGGAACTTGGGAAATGGAAACTGTCATTATTATATCTTTATTGTAGTGTTTATTTTTTAAAAAAAACTTTATTTAAAAGAAAACTTTAAAAAGTAGAGGCTTGTACTTTCCATTAAAAAAAAAATCTTAAAATAAAAATATTAGCATGGGATACCTCTGAGTGAATATGTCAGTCAACATATATTAATAATATATATATTAGTACTATTAATAACGGTGGTATAGTGGTTAGAGTGCAGTACTGCAGACTACTTCTGCTGAAAGCAGGCTGACTACAATTTGGCAATTCAAATCTCATTGGCTCAAGATTGACTCAGCCTTCCATCCTTCCGAAGTCGGTAAACCGAGGACCCAGATTGTTGGGGGCAATGTGCTGACTCTGTAAACCGCTTAGAGAGAGCTGTAAAGCACTGTGAAGCGGTATATAAGTCTAAGTGCTATTGCTGTTAAGTTGTTGGTGAAATCATGAACTCTTTTGTTCATGTTTTTCACTATTTCAGTAATACAAGTAGTATATAACAAGTAGTAGCTTGTTATTCATTTGAACAGCATTTTAACTTAATATATTTTCCTTTGTCTGGAGAGAGTTCATCCTGTCTTATGAGCTAGGCTTAATTTAAGTCACTTAACAAATTTGTATGTATCTTACCTTAAAGTAAAGTATTATCTTCTACATTTTTCTCAATTATAAACACTTGGCAATTTTCACTTGTTCACAACTTCTCTTTGAAAAGATAAGTTCGTTCTTGCTTAGAAATAAATAGCACCATTCTTAATTATCATTATTATCAAGCTTAGTTAAACTTGGTTTCATAAAAGCATCAACCTGGGGTAGTAGTTAAAGGCACTGGAAAAGTATGAATTCTAGTCCTTGTCAAACCTGACTTGACTCCATAGTTGCCTGTACCTGCTTTCGCTCGCAGCGTTGCCAAACAGTGACGGGATAGGTGGGTGAATTCCTAAGGGTGGAGGGACACTATAGAATGCAAGAGAACCATCTGTTGCCGGAGACACATTATCTAACAAGGTCAAGTGATGAAGAACGTTTTGACCAAATTTTCCCAAAGCAAAAGAACTGAACTCAGTTGGTGAACTATGAACTGTGGATGGGCCAGAGGGGAATGTTGTGGTCCGCCAGTAGCCTGCTGAGCTGGCAGCGGAATCAGACAGCGATGAGGCTGAGGAAGAACATGGGCCAGTCCTGGAGGCTGGGGAAGGCCCAGATGAGGGCTCTGCATTGGAGGCAGAGATGGGGCCGGGGCCATCAGGGAGTAATGCACGGACTTCGGAGCCTCCAGAGGCTGACAGTAGAGAGACAGAGGAACAGGAAGAGCCTGTTCCTAGTGCACATATGAGAAGAGCTGCCAGAAGGCAGGAGCAGCTAAAGCAGAGAGGACAACTCGGGAGTAGGGCCAAGAGATGATTGGCCCCTCCCATAAGTCTTAAAAGACCAGCAACGGCTCTTGGCCTCTTTGCCGAAAAACAACCGTTGAGAGATTTGCTTCGTGTTTGGCTTTCTTGTCAGCGTCTTCTGTTCCTGAACTGTTGCCAAGAAAAGTTTTTGGCAGCTCTTCTCATACGTGCACTAGGAACAGGCTCCTCCTGTTCCTCTGCCTCTCTACTGTCAGCCTCTGGAGACTCCAAAGTCCGCGCATCACTCCCCGATGGCCCTGACCCCATCTCTGTCTCCGATGCAGAGCCTTCATCCAGACCTTCCCCAGTCTCCAGGACTGGCCCATATTCTTCCTCAGCCTCATCGCTGTCCGATTCCGCTGCCAGCTCCGCAGGCTGCTGGCGGACCACAACAGGGAAAAGGGGAGTTACCTATGTGGGTTTTCGTGGGCAAAACCCCAGAACTGACTTTGCCTCTGCCGTACCTAGATGGATTTTTCAATAAATCTCCGTGGAGGCCCCCTCTCTCTGGAACATCATCGCCCCAGAGATTAAAATGGCCCCCACTCTAGCACTTTTCCAGAAGGTGCGAAGATCTGTTTCTGCCAGCGGGCCTGGGGAACCCAGAGCAGGATGAAGCCCATTAAATGGCTCATGTGAGGTGCTGTTGCTGGAGGTGGGGGGGGTGCTTTTATGAATTTATTATATGACTATTCTTTTATTAATTTTATTATTTTTATATGAGGTTTATATTCTGTAAGCTTCCTTGAGTTGCCATGTGTGAATAGGGTGGCAATATGAATGAATGAATGAGAGGAGAGAGAGAGAGAGAGAGGGAGAGAAAAAGAAAGAAAGAAAGAAAGAAAGAAAGAAAGAAAGAAAGAAAGAAAGAAAGAAAGAAAAAGAAAGTTACACTCTTAGTTAATCTAAAGAGCGGGGACTTCCTTTTGTTGAATATACCAAATGGGATGGTTGACATTCCTGCCTTAGGCACAAAGACAGGTGGGTACACTTGGTATGGTCACTTTTTCTCAGGCCTAGGAGGAAGACAACAGTCAACTACTTCAGAGAAGTCATGGTTGATTTAAAGGGGTTAAAAAAAGAGGATTGTTAAAGCTGCTGTTCTTTCTCCACCCTTTTTCAGCACCATCTTAAAAAAATGGAGGGCAGACGCCTAGACTTTGATTACAAGAAGAAAAGACAAGGCAAGGTCCCAGATGATGAGGTCCGCCAAGCTCTGGACAAGTTTGATGAGTCCAAAGAGATTGCTGAATCCAGCATGTTTAATCTGCTGGAGATGGATGTGAGCAAATCTCCCACTATCCTTTTTTATTTTTTGTATTTTGGACAGGGTTTTTTTTTTTAATTAATAGAAATTCAAAACTTGGTTAAAGAACTGATTTTTCTGGTCTTGTTTCCCTAGACTCTGTTTCATAACTGTGTAGATCTGGCTTTCAAAGCTTTGCTGGCTGGGGAATTCTGGGAGTTGAAGTCCACACGTCTTAAAGCTGCCAGGGTTGAGAAACACTGTATTATTACATAATGAAATGAAATGTGGTTTCCCTAATAGAAAACCGTTTTGCGTTTTGGAATTCCAAGGGCAAGATTTTGCAAACATGTTTTTAGGTGAAATTGGCACTGTCAGTAAATTATTCCACTTGCTATCAGTTTTCATGTGAATGGCATTTTGGAGGAAGACTTAGTAATAATCTTAGACACTGTTTGGACTGAAGCATAACCCCATGGATCACAACATAAATTTTAACTCCCCTATGAATTATTTGAATAGTCTTGAATATTCCACAATGACTTGGTTTCAGGTCTAAAAATACCTGCGGTGAAAATAATGGTGACGTGCCTCAAAAATTCCTCAAGACGGATAAAATGTCATATTGTTCTATCCCCTTCAGCTTTGCGTGTGCAAATAAGTCAAGCTTTAAATAAATTGAATTATATATAATATCTGAACATGCTGGAACAAAATTCAATTAATTGTATAGCAGGATCACAGTATTTCTTGTTCTCCATTGAAACTGGATATATAGAATTCAATCAAGCTAACAAATTCCAGTCTGGTCAGGCTAAATCCACGCCAATGTGAAGTTTCACGTGTTTTCTGGAAAAAGAATGACAACTATTCCCATGAGACGCTTCCAATTTTGTCTCCACTGAAACCCAGAACAATGAAAACTTTCTGGGCATTGATTCAGCCAGACCATAATTCTATACTTTACTAGTGTGGAAAAAGAAATCCTTTTTACAGGTAGTCCTCAACTTACAACTACAGTTGAGACCAGAATTTCCATTGTTAAGCAAGCTGGTTGTTAAGTGAGTTGTGCCCATTTTTTTTGCCATGGTTGTTAAGTGAATCACTGCAGTTGTTAAACAAATCTGGTTTCCCTCCTTGACTTTGCATGTTGGAAGCTGGCTGGGAAGGTCATAGATCACATGATCACATGACCTTGGGAGGCTGTAACTATTGTAAGTACCGTATTTTTCGGAGTATAAGACACACTTTTCCACCCCCTACAAGAGGGTGAAAATTTGGGTGCGTCTTATACACCAAATGTAGCCCCACCCACCCGCCGACCCCCACCCTTCGGCCTCCCCCCAAAAGGTCCATTTGAGAGGCTGCCTTTGCAAAGAGAAGCTCCTTTGCAAATGGAGCTTTGGGAGGCTGCAAACGCATCCTCTCAAACGGAGAGCATCCTCTCAAGCAGCCTTCAAAAGCTCCATTTGCAAAGGAGCTTCTCTTTGCAAAGGCAGCCTCTCAAACGGAGCTTTCGGAGGGTGATAAAGCAAGGCACAGAGACCAAAATGGCAACCCGGAACAGCCGCTGCCTTGTCGGACCAGTTCTGCACTTCCCCTGCTCTACTCACTGGAGTGCCCTGCGACGATCAGCTGCATTTTTGAAGCTGCGTATCTGCCCCAACGAGGCGTGTGCGCAAGCAGCGAACCTGTTGCTAAAGTTCACCTCTGGGAACAGATGATTGGGGGTATTCTGGGAGGCCGATCCACCCGCCAATCAGCTGCTCATGCTGAATCAGGCTAATGTGCTGAAATTGACCAGGCTGTTTGCTGCAAGGATGCTAGCCAGATGAATACCAATGGATGCTGGTAGGCAGAGGCAGAATTTTTTTTTCTTATTTCCCCCTCCCCCCCAAAAAATAATAAGATGCGTTTTATGCTCCGGAGTGTCTTATACTCTGAAAAATACGGTACTTGCTGGTTGCCAAGCACCAGAATTTTGATCACATGACCATGGGGATGCTGCTACATTCACAAGTGTGAGGACTGGTTGTAAGTAATTTTTTCGCTAAGTGAATGGCTGTTAAATTGAGGACTGCCTGTACTCTGAAATGAAAACATGTTTTTTCCCCCCTCAAGGCTTTGCTTGTAAATGAGCAGGTTTTCACCACCATTGTGTCAAGTACAGGTGGTCCTCAATTTACAACAGTTCATTTAGTGACTGTCCAAAGTTACAACATCAGTGAAAAAAGTGATTTATGGCCATTTTTCACAGTTAAGATCTTTGCAGCATCCCCATGATTATGTGATCAAAATTCAGATCACATAAGCTTGGCAACTGTGTCATACTTACGACTCACTGCCTCTGACAAGCAGAGGCAATGAGGAAGCCAGATTCACTTAACAACCAGGTTACTAACTTATCAACTGCAGTGATTCACTTAACAGCTGTGGCAAAAAAAGGTTGTAAAATGAGGCAAAACTCACTTAACAAATGTCTCACTTAACAACATAAATTTTGGGCTCAATTATGGTCATAAATTGAGGATTACCTGTACCATACCTTTAGCAAGGATATATTATCCTGAAGAAGTAGTATTGCTTTAATGATAATAGTATTATAACATTCTGAGATGCAACCTCAGTCAAGGACTTGTTCAGGAGTAATCTAAAGCAGAGTTGTCCAATTTTGCCAACTTTTAAGACCTATGGATTTATATTTCCTGAATTCATGCTGGTTGGAGAATTCCTCAAGTCTTAAAGTTGCCAAGGTTGGACATCCCAGATCTAAAGACTTCTTCAGCTGGTTTGGAGAACTATTCTGGGCGAGGACTCCAACATGCCAAGTATATAATGCCTCTGAATTGGTAAGCTAAATTGAATAGGTCACCCATTAAGAAAGTTTTCTTTGTTAATGTTGGTGACTTTGATTAAATGTATGAATTGTTTTTATTTGCATGTGAACAGCAATAGGTGTGAGTCTTGCATAGTCAGGCTTCTTTTTTAAAAAAGATAATAACCATACTTGCCACAGTGTATGCATGCATATCAAGATTCTTTTATAAATAAGGCATAATTAATCTGCATTAAGTGTTTTGCTTATGAACATAAGTGGCTTGTTGGTTAAAGCGAAGTTCACCCTATATCATACCTTTTAGGTAGCCCTCCAGAAAATGCCCAGCAAGAAGTGATCTGAACGTTAGCTATCCTAGTGAAAAGGGTTTTTCTCCAGTTCTAATATTCAGTTCTTTCCCTTATTCATTGTTTTTCAGAGAACTGATTCACTACAGAACAGAGTTGTAATAAGGTTGCTCTCCCTCCCTCTCCTCCTCCCTCCCTCCCTCTTTCTCTCCTTCTCTCCCTCCCTCCCTCTTTCTCTTTCTCTCTCTCCCTCCCTCTCTCCCTCCCTTTCCTTCCTTCCCTCCCTCTCTCTTTCTCTCTCTCTTACCTCCCTCTCCTTCCTTCCTCCCTCCCTTTTCTCTCTCTACCCCCTTTCCTTCCTTCCCTCCCTCCCTCTTTCTCTCTCTCCCCCTCCCTCTCCTTCGTTCCTTCCTTCGCTCTCTCTCTCCCTCTCCCTCTTCTTCCTTCCTTCCTTCCCTCCCTTTCTCTCTCTTTCCCTTCCCTCTCCTTCCTTCCTTTCCTCCCTCTTTCTCTCTCTTCCCTTCCCTCTCCTTCCTTCCTTCCTTCCCTCTCTTTCTCTCTCTTTCACCCTCCCTCTCCTTCTTTCCTTCCTTCCCTCCCTCTTTCTCTCTCTTCCCCTCCCTCTCCTTCCTTCCTTCCCTCTCTTTCTCTCTCTCCCTCTCCTTCCTTCCTTCCCTCTTTTTCTCTCTCCCCCTCCCTCTCCTTCCTTCCTTCCTTCCTTCCTTCCTTCCTTCCCTCTCTTCTCTCTGTTTCTCGCCCTCCCTCTCCTCCTTCCTTCCTTCCTTCCTTCCTTCCTTCCTTCCTTCCTTCTCTCTCTCTCTCTCTCTCTCTCTCTCTCTCTCTCTCTCTCTCTCTCCCTTTTTCCCCCTTCCTCTTTCCTTCCTTCCCTCCCTCTTTCTCTCTCTCCCCCTCCCTCTCCTTCCTTCCTTCCTTCCCTCTCTCTTTCTCTCTTTCTCTCTCTCTCTGAGTTGAGGGTCCTCCATGGCTGGAGTTTTTTTCCGAAATAGACTGGATAGCCATTTGACTAGGGTAGTATAAGGTCTCTTGCCTTAAACAGAGGGTTGGACTAGAAGACCTCCGAAGTCCCTTCCAGCCCTGTGATTTTATGTTCTGTGTTCTTTGCAGGTTGAACAAGTGAGCCAGCTTTGTGCATTAGTACAAGCCCAGCTGGAATACCACAGGCAAGCCTCAGAGATTCTCCAACAAGTTAGTCTCAAGCTGGAAGAAAGGTAGCAAAAATTGAACAGAAGTATTTGGGCACATGTTTCAGCTCCAGGCTGAAAACCTGAGATGAAATTACACTGAATTTGTTGGCTGTGTTGCCTTTTCAATGGGAGAGCAACTTTCCATGGGTTATAGAGCAAAATATATAGAAACATTTAATTCCATTTTAGGGCTGGGACATGATACATTTTGCCACAGCTATTCCAGTGAAAATACCTTCCCACATTGTTCCAACCCACAATTGGGCTGCCTATTAAATATGCATTTTCTAGAGTGATGGATGAAGTGATTGCTTTGAGAGATATACAAAACATTCCATGCATGGAACTATGGACATATACATTATCCCTGTGCATAGACTTCCCTACCCCCAAAAATGTGTTTGCCCCATATATTCCATGCAGGAATCCCATACTGGAAAGCGGGCAGGCCTATTTTTGCCTAGGATTAGTATTGACTATAGAGACTTCTTTCACTATTATTTTACGAAAATGAGAGAATGCCATCAATGCCTTATTTTCCATCAAGAAGTAGAATTTTTTTTAAGCTGTATTGTTTGGCATCCCTTCAGAGATAATACAATACTATAAAATACTCATTTACTATAAAATGAGCTCTGGTGGCGCAGTGATTAGAATGCAGTATTCTCCACAGCCTGGAGTTCAATCCTGATGAGATTCAAATTTGACTCGGCCTTCATCCAAGGTCAGTAAAATTGGGACCCAGATTGTTGGGCGCAATATGCTGACATTGTAACTCACCCAAAGAGTGCTGTAAAGCACTGTGGGGCATTATATAACTCTAAGTGCTATTGCTATTAAAGATTACCATTTACAAGAATAAAAAAATAATACAAACTAGAAAAAGGAAAAGAGTAAAAGGAAAAACTTTCTAGGGCAAAAAAGAGAGAGAAAATGGAAAAGAAAGAAAAATAAGAATATAATAAAAGAAAAAAGAGAACTATATAAGGAAATGACTTCCCCTTTCATTATAACAAGCATAAGCAATTTTACTAACTTACAATAAATCACAGATATCCTTCTCCTATCTATAAACATATACACAAAATCTTGTGATTTCAGTCCTTATGTCAGTAAAAGTCCATGAAGAGTTACCAGAGATATTAACAAATATATATTTTAACTTTGATAAAAAAACACCCAGTTTATATTCTTTCCTCTTACTTCTAACAATTTTGTTCTTTCAAATAGCATCTTAGAACTTGATTTATTTTCATTTTTTCTTTGTATTTCTTACACCATTGTTTGAATCTTTTAACAAGTCTCATTTTTTTAAAAAAATTGATTTATATGCCACCCTTCTCCGGAGACTCAGGGTGGCTTACAATGCGTTAAGCGATAGCCTTCACACTTTTGTATATTTTTTTATACAAAGTCAGCTTATTGCCCCCACAAACTGGGTCCTCAATTTACCTACCTTAGAAAGGATGGAAGGCTGAGTCAATCTTGAGCCTGGCAAGATTCGAACTTACTTTAATTGCAGACAGTTTTGTGAACCCAATAAAGGAAAATAATCCAAGTCTTGTTCTTGGTTTGATTGATATATCCTATCATATTTTAAAAGAATTTTTAATCAAACCAAAAGCATTTCCTCATGGGAAGGATTCTGTATCATTAATTCCAAAATCTTATTTAGAATTTATCTTGATCCTTAAGTCCATTTATAACTTTTTTAAAATCAAAACAGTAATCACCCTTTTGCTATTTATTCCAGAAAGTTAAATCCTTGCACTTATATTTAAAATATCTTTCATTAAGGATTGAAGAAAACTCACCCAGTGTTTTCAGACTTGTCAACCTAAAGGTTCTCATAGCTGAACGTCAGTTAAGCAATTTCTGAAAGCAATTAGAAAATAAAATATGCAAATTCAGTGTCCTTTTAAAGGGGGCCAATCATGGTTTGAGCAAGATGGCCATTCTCCATTCTCCTAGTTCTGTAAATCCAACAGAAACTGCTATCTTGTGTTCTTGCAAGGAACAATTATATGGGACACTTGTGGGCTATTGGAAGTCTTCTCGTCCAGAGAGCTATCACTAAGAGCTCATCAACTCACTTGAAGTTACAACAGCACTGAAAAACGTGATTTATGACCACTGTTCACACTTATGACCTTTGCAGCATCCCCATGATCACGTGATTTGCATTCAGATGCTTGACAACTGACTCACATTTGTGATGGTTGCAGGTCATGGGATCTCCTGTAGTGACCTTCTGACAAGCAAAGTCAATGGGAAGCCAGATTCAGTTAACAACCATGTTACTAATTTAAGAACTTGCAGTGATTCACTTAAGACATGTGGCGAGAAAAGTCGTAAAATGGGGTAAAACTCCCTTAACAAATGTTTTGGGTGTGTGGTCATAAGTTGAGGACTGCCTGTATTTTCTATCTGTTTTTTCCCAGGCTGATGAAATATTCTCAACAAAGGTTGTTTACCAGCACTTTTTGGTTTTTTTCTTGCTCACTGATTGTGCCCAATCTTTTTGGATTTATTCTTCTATCTAGAATCGATATCTCAGAACTAATGATGCCTCAGACGATCATTAGTTCTGAGATATCGATTCTAGATAGAAAATACAGGTAGTAGAACAGTTAAATTCTTCTGCTCCTTTTCTTACAGTTGGACTCAAATGATTTAATGCAATTGGGCCTTCAAAGCTCCATTTTCCAAGTTCTACTTGGGCATTAAAGAAAAGGAAATGATTCATTCCAATATGAACCGAATAGGGTTCACCTGTCTTTTTTCACTGTCTAGCGAGCTTGCTTACTTGGTTATTTTTTGGATGGATTTTAAATCCTACTTCAATTCCATATAGTCATGGTGTTACATTTCCCTTTAGTCCTGATCGTAATGATTTGTATTGAAGTCTCTCTTTTTTTATGAATTATTTTCTGCAAATTTCTTCAGGACTTTTGTTAATCGTTCCAGACTATTTTGAAGAATCTTGTCCGGCATGGTGGAGGGGGTTCAAGAATTTATAGGCAGGTTAAGTGGTCGTTTAGGGCATATACAGGAATTTATAGACATCATCTTGAAATAATTATAAAAAAATAACTTTGTAACTTGATTTTGCAGGGTTTTACATAGATAGAACCATAGCGTTTTTCAACTTAAAATCTTACGTTCCTATCCTAAGCCTACCTAGACTTTAACTATCATCTACCACAATTTAAAGACATATTGTACAAGTTTGTTGTTTAGTTAAATTATCATGGATTTTGACAAGGTGGCTTCAACAGTATATATTTGCCTATGTGCTTCGAATCAGCCTGATATAGACTTTCTATATCAGAAAAAGCTACTCTTGACATTAACCACAATGGACAAGTCCACTTTATTGGATTCCATCAAAAGAAATGTCAGGAAATTCAGTGTGCTTAGGAAACTGTGTAGCCTCTGCCTTCATGAAAATGGGAAACGGAAACTCAGGTTTCTGTTTAAAGAAAACAGGTTTGTAATAATCAGACCTTCAATAGACAGTAAATCCTATAGCTACAAAACTTCAAATATAAGTACCATGTTCTTTGACAAAAAAAGACCAGGTCTCTTGAAACATTTCCTGCCTGCAACGCCTTGGAGTCAGGGCCAAAAATTGATGTTAGGGATAGATTTTTAGAGGTTCCCTAAGGAAAGCAATTAGGATAATTTTCATTCAGACTTCTTTCTGTCCCAGAAGAAAAAAAAAGAAAAACATGGGAAAATCCCTTTGCCAAAGAACATTAAAATAGGGTTAGGTATAGGAATAGAGTTAGGATTAGGATTAAGTCTCCTTGGAATCAGGGCTGAAAATTGATGTTACGGATAGATTCATATAGGCCAGTGATGGCTAACCTTTTTGCCATTGTGTGCCAGGAGAGGGAGGGTCGCACGCACGCATGCCCACATCGATAATTCTATGCGCCCTGCCCTGTGCATGCACATGCAACCGCCCTCCCCCCTGCTCTTGGCACGTGATGGCCCGTTAGGCCCGTTTTTCTTTCTTACCTGGTTCCAGATCCTCTCTATTTATCTGGGAAGGGCAAAAACAGCCTTTCTCACTCCCTCGGAGTCCCTCCAAAGGCCTGAAATGGCCCTTTTCCCAATTCCCGGTGGGACAGGAAGTGACTTTTTTGCTGTTCCCAGCCTCCAGAGCCTCTCTAGGAGTCTCTGGAGGCTGGGGAGAGCAAAAAACGTCACTTCCTGTCCCACCGGGAATTGGGAAAAGGGCCATTTCAGGCCTTTGGAGGGCCTCCGAGGGAGTGAGAAAGGCTGTTTTTGTCCTTCCCAGATAAATAGAGAGGCTCTAGAGCCAGGTGAAAAAGAAAAACGGCCTTCCCCACGCCCCCTCCCCCAGGCCCTCTGGAGGCAGGAAACAGCTTGTTTTCCTACTTCTGGTGGGCCCAGAAGGCCCGAAAATCAGCTAGCCGATGCACGCATACACGCCAGAGCTGAGCTGGCGTGCCCACTGATATGGCTACGTGTGCCACAGGTTCGCCATCACGGATATAGGCTCTCAAAGATAAAGTGAGTCTGACAGCTTTTTTTGTTAGGACTTCTTTCTGGGCCAGAGTAACGTGTATGGGAAAATCCTGTTGACTATGAAAATGAAACTAGGCTTAGGGTTATGGTTTGAGTTAGGTCTCTTTGGAGTCAGGCCCAATAACTGATATTAGGGATAGAGTCTTCAAGGTTCTCTAAAAAAAGAGAACCTGACAACTTTTCATTCGGACTTCTTTTATTGTGGACCACTATAAAATACATGGGAAACTCCCATTGCCAGTGAAAATGAAACTAGAGTTAAGGATGTCACTTTCTTTAGAAACCTCTAAGAATCTATCCCTAACATCACTTTTTGACCCTGACTCCCAAAAGAGCTAATCGTAACTGTAACCCGATCCTTAACCCTAACCCTAGTTTTAATTTTCATTGTCAATGGGATTTTCCCATGTATTACTGTGCTCTACAAATATGTCTGAACGAAAAATAATCACATTCCCCTTCCTTAGAGAATTTCTAAGAATCTATTCCTAACATGAGTTTTTGGTCGTGACTCCAATGACAGCCAATCCTAAATCTATTCATAACCCTAACTCTAATTTCATTTTCATTGGCAAAGGCGTTTTCCCATGTACACTGCTCAAAAAAATAAAGGGAACACAAGCAGAAGACATCCGAGATCTGAATTAATGAAATAGCCTTATTAAATACTTTGTTCATACAGTAGTTTTGTGTTCCCTTTTGTGTTTGAGCAGCATATAAACTACTGTATGTAAAGAACAAAGTATTTAATAAGGCTATTTCATTCATTCAGATCTCAAATGTCTTCTGCTTGTGTTCTCTTTATTTTTTTGAGCAGTATATTTTTCTGTGCTCCACAAACAAGTGTGAACAAAAAGCTGTCACATTCTCTTTCCTTAGAGAACCTCTAGGAATCTATCCCGAACATCATTTTGTGGCACTGACTCCAAAGATCCCTAACCCTATCCTTAACCCTAACCCTAATTTATTTTTCATTGGCAATGGGATTTTCCCATGTATTTTACTGTGGATCCCATGTGGTCCACAAAAAAGTCTGAACGAAAAGCTGCCACATTCTCTTTCCTTAGAGAACCTCTAAGAATCTATCCCTAACATCACGTTTCGGCGCTGACTCCATTGAGAGCTAACCCTAATTGTAAGCCTATTCTTAACCAAGTTCTAACTCCATTTCAATTTTCAATGGCATTTTTTCATGTATTTTACTGTGCTCCACAAACAAGTCCAAAACAAAATCCATCACATTCTCTTTCCTTACTTAGAGAACCTCTAAAAATCTATTCCTAACATCAAGTTTCAGGGCTGACTCCATTGGGAGCTAACCCAACCCTACCCCTACCCTTAAACTGAATCCTAGAAAATTAAACTAGGGTTTGGGTTAAGGATAGGGTTAGGGTCAGCTCTTAATGGAGTCAGGGCAGAAAACTGATGTTAGGGATAGATTCCTAAAGGAAAGAGTACATGACAGCTTTTTGTTCGGACTTCTATGTGGAGCACAACAAAAGACATGGGAAAATACCATTGCCAATGAAAATGAAACTAGAGTTATGATTAAGGATAGGGTTAGAGTCAGTGGTAGGTTGCTACCGGTTCGCCCTGGATTGGGCGAACTGGTAGTGATGGCGGCAGGAGGTTCCGCCCACCCACCCGGATGCTTCTGCACATGTGCAGAAGCCTCATGAGTGTGAGCGCGGCCACGCCCACAAGCGAACCGGTAGCGATGGGTTTTGAAATCCGCCCCTGGTTAGAGTTAGCTCTCTTTGGAGTCAGGGCCAAAAACTGATTATTAAGAATAGATTCTTAGAGGTTCCTAAGGAAAGAGAACGTGATAGATTTTCGTTTGGACTTGCTTTTTGATCACAGTAAAATACATGGGAAAATCCCATTGACAATTAAAATGAAAGTAGAGTTAGGGTTAGATATCCTTGGAGTCAGGGACAAAAACTGATCTTAGTGATAGATTCATTTTCTAAGGAAAGAGAATATGACAGCTTTTCTTTTTAAGGACCATAGTAAAATTCATGGGAAAATCCCATCGTCAAAGAATATACCTGAAGGAATTGCAGTCAGGAACTGCTGCTATCTTAAAATTAAACTATCTATGTTATTTTACAAGTAAGGTAGCCGAAGTGCAGCCTAAGGTTCTCTGAAGCAATGAATCGGCTGAACAGTACACACAAATAAGAATGTTTTACTGAAAACCCTTGTAACTCAGATACCAGCTTTCTGGGTAGTGGGAGATAAATACATTTGTAGGACTGAGAATAAAGTCCAACCTGATTTTTTACAGGAAATGTTTATGACCTGGCATCTTGTTTTCCAGCACATAATGGTCTCAACAAGCAGCCGCAATCAACTCCAGTTCCAGCTTATAATTATCGTCTTTTAATGACCCCGTTATCCTTTGCTGGGTAGACTCTGGGCAACTGAATGGAGCTGGCCGGATGCCCTTCCTGTCATCAGTGCGGAGTTATATTCAGCAGATATAATCTCAACGTGCCCATAGAGAGAAATATCTGCCTCTACCTAGGATCAGAACTCACTCCTGATTGTGAGACGAGAGCTCCACCTCTAGGCCACCGTACCATTCCCAGTCCCAGCCTACAATACATACCATAGTATAATACCTCAATGATGTATTCATTCGTTCTTCATTGTTAAGGAGAACCTGTAAGCTAATCTTCCATACCCATTGAAATAAATTGAATGTATGACACTGGCATTCATATCAAATTCAAGGTGTATATCAACCTGGTGAAAATATAGTTCAGGATAGAAGCCTAAAGTAAACTTGTCCTCTGTCAAGATGTCCAGGAGAATCCTTTGAATATGAATCAAATGTTGACTTGACATAATTGTACAATTTATGCATTCTTTTTTTTTGTGGCAGATCATTGTGATAGGGCCAAAAGAATGAAGATGATTGTGTTCGATAATCAGGCAAAGCTTTACACGATGTACTGTAGTAGAGGTATACTTAATGGCTTGCTTGTAGACTTGCTAATTATGAAAATGCAAAAAACAATGTTTTCCTTGATTAGTCTTAGTGGTTTAGAATTGGATTAGTTCAAATTAGTAACTGCTCATTTTCCAACAGAATAAAAGAAACATCGATTCAGGCCAGAAGAGAATATCAGCCGAAGCCCCGTATGACCTTGGAATTAAGTGACAATAATCAGCACAACGGAGGGCTCTCTAATGCTACCACTCCTAAGCCTTCAGGTAAGAATGGGAGAAGAGGAGATGAAAAAGAAATGTAAAAGAAGATTTCTGTACCTGTCATAGCTTCGTTGGATCCCAGTTCAGAGGAGGAGAAATTGGAACTGGGACTGTCTGACAGGGATGGCACGATCCCGTCTGAATGAGTGGAGAGTCCAGGGGATGAGGACAAGGCACTCCCAAAGCCGATTGGCTATTAGGGGAAGGGGGGCAGAGCCGACTGGATAGGGATCTGCTTGTAGGAGGGCCAGTGGAGATGACAGGTTTCAGACCACCTCTGGCAAGGAACAGCTGCTTCCCCTGCCCAATCCATGGATGAGAAGAGCAGAGTGGAGGGAGGCATAGAGGAGGTCAGTGAGGCTGCTCGCGAGGAAGCAATCCTGTCCCTCCTCACAATGAATACTTGGGAAAGGTGTATTCTATGTGGGCGCACCCACCCTTTGAAATCAACTCCCCTAGGGGCTCCGGTTGGCCCCTGACCTTCGCACTTTCCGCTGCAAACTAAAAACATGGCTGTTTAAATTGCCCAGCCTGGACTGATGGGGTTTTGATTTTTAATGTATTTTAATATGTATTTTAATGTATTTTAATGTATTTTAATATGCGTTTAATATGTATTTTAACATGTTTCTTACTTGGATTGAGATTGTATATCTTAATTGTTGTGAGCCACCCTGAGTCCTATGGAGATAGGGCGGCATATAAATCTAATTAAAATAAATAAAATAAATAAATAAACATTTCATTCTTGCACAAATAGCATTTGTCATCTCATTTTCAATTCCATCCAATCATTTGTAAAGGTTTACAAATTGCATTGTGATCCACAAGGGCTGAGAGAATACAGTTAGCCGCTAAAGGATAACCCACAGGCAGGACAAGGCATCATAGACCGGTATTGTGATGTTCTTCTAATAATATTACAACATAATGTAACGTAATAATAATATAACATAACATAATATAAAATATATCATTTTAAGGTAAGTATTGTAATAATTTACAACTAAGTGAGGTGTAAACCAGTTCAAAAAGAAAGTTTTTTTTTAAATAGCCAGCATATATTCAGGGCTTAAAATTATTTTAATAAGAGATTCATAAAATAACTGGAAGAATGAAGTCTTCCCCTGGTCCTGATGTTAGCATAAACTAGGCATTTATGCACAAAAGACAAATTCCTTGTGTGTCCAATCACACTTGGCCAATAAAGAATTCTCTATCGTCTGTCTGTCTGTCTATCTATCTATCTATCTATCTATCTATCTATCTATCTATCTATCTATCTATCTATCTATCTCTATCATCTATCGTTCAACAATCATAGGAACCTAATCATGACAACTCTGTTCCCTGTTGTATTTAATGCCCGTTCACTATGGAGTGCTGTGTCTTGTAGCTGCCTTTAGTAAGCCCCACATTTCTCTCTCTCATCCTTTTTTCTTTCCACCCAGGTGGTGTGGCTATGGATCAGCCGTGTTGTCGAGCTCTGTATGACTTTGACCCTGAAAATGAAGGGGAGCTCGGTTTTAAAGAAGGCGATGTCATCACCCTCACTAACCAGATTGATGATAACTGGTACGAAGGCATGATTCATGGGCAGTCTGGCTTCTTCCCCATCAATTATGTGGAAATTCTTGTTCCTTTGCCTCATTAGGGTAGCCCATCCATCCTATCAAAATTACTGTTTCTCCTAAATAATATTTTAAAAAAATAATTTGTTGGTACCACTGCTTTTGAAAAAGATTAAGAAATCAATAAATGAAATGGCTGCTTATTCCACATCACAACTACAAACTGCATCGGCCCCACAGATAATATTTGATTTTTGTGTCACCCTGCTGCAGAGTGGTGATGTGTGATATTTTCTTAAGGCATTGCAGCTGGACACATGGGATGTCCAGGTTATTCCTTTGGTCGCTACAGAGATGTCTATGCAGTGTTGGGGGTGAGAGAGTGTGGCAATTAATGGTGCAACTCGGTCTTAATATTGTGGAAAGAAAGCAGCTGAGTGATTGGGGAAGATAAAGCATATCGCCATTCTATCATTATTTTCTTCTCTTTCTACAAAGAAGAGGAGGGGGGAAAAAAACACATCCTTGGGCATTCCATCTTTCCCTAGCCAAACAGTGTGGTTCATGCAGGCCTAATTATTGCTAACAGGCTTTTTCGTGTTGTCTTATCTCAGAAATGATTGAGTGCTGGAGAAACTGCGAAATGTATATTCCAGTTGCTTTACACATAAGCCACCACTGCGCTGTATTTGCTATATTCCAGCTGTGGCGGAAGGTATCTGGGAATCTATTAGTAGATTTTTTTTGGTGCGTGTGGACAATTGTGTTTTAATTCACAATTGTTTAACACTAGCAACAACAACAAAAAAAATCCTGCCTAAAAGTTGCTGACGTGAGGAGAATTGAGGGTACCCAGCTGTGATTTTAAAGTGAAAGGGACCTACCAATTGCTAGTGTTCAGAACAAATTCTTTTGCTTAGTGTGCTCAGAGGCGCCTTATTTTTTTTGTTTTGTTTTGTTTTAATTCTAAATGTATTAGCTCTTACCTGGCTCTGGTTGGTGAATCTGGGGTTCTAGTTAAAATAATAATAATACTAAACTTTTTAGTCTGCCAGCCCCATTTTAAATTGTTAATTCAAGAGCTGTTCAATATCCAGGTTACTTAAAGGCTTTTTAATAGCATCCAAAAGTTAAAGCAGGAAATACTAACTTTGGAGGGTAGCCTATGTGCTTGCTTAGAAAGCTTAAATATTAAAAGCACAATGCCAGCAGAAGTCAATCATACTTGGAGAAAACATTTTAAAAACAACGTTCAACTGTTTTACCTTGTGTAAAATTTAGGCACAAGAAGTATAATTTTAAAACGTCATGAGCCCTTTATTCTATATATTTACTAATAGTAATAAGCAACATACACCATGTAGTTTTATTTTCATCTACCTTGTGTTCTTTGAACATCATTTATGTATATTCTGCCCTCAGTGAGGACTAAATAATAACAGATTTTTTTTGTGTGTGTGTGCTTAGGAATTACAGTGACACATAGTTACATACACAAAACACATTTCAATTATTTTTCTCTCCATACTCTCCTCTATGCATTTATGTGCCACTTCCTCCAGTTGGGGTGTAAAATGTTGTCTAGCTGGTTCATTGTTGTTTCATTTGAATTACCCAGAATTCTGTTTCTCTATATAAATCTGTATATAAACCTTCTTGTGCTGCTTCAGATGTGCCACTTCAGTATTGGACCATGTGAAATGAAGGCAGTCCTTTTGCTTTTCATGTATAAACTATACCATGAACAGTGTTGTTCTTTCAAATAAAAATGCTGATTGACAAGCCACAATGGTTATGTTTGCATTTTCTTCATTAATATTTATGTTTAATAATACCACACGGCCACAGTTTCCTATCCAAGATACTGTAAGCAGTCTTTGGATTAAGACAGCAATTGGGACCAGGACTGCCATTGTTAAGTGATGGAATCATAAAAGGTGAAGTCATGTGACTACATCACTTAGCAATGACGATCCTGGCAGTCTTCACTGCCATCGTAATCCCAAAAGGCAGCAAGGGCGGGACTGAACAATTAATCAATGAAATGATTTGCGTCCAGAAGTTGTGGCTGCTTCAAAACTGGAAGTTCTTAAGAAGTGACTGGACAACCATTTGTCTGAAATATATAGGGTCTCCTACCTAAGCAGATGGTTGGACTAGAAGACCTCCAAGGTCCCTTCCAACTCTGTTATTCATTCTGTGAACAAGCCTGATGGAAAATCCCAAATACCAGATAGTGTAATCTCAGCTTTCCACTTGTCTTCCCCAGGAATAGATACTGAAAGGCAGTGGCAATTAGCTGCTGATATGGAAGTTAATATAGCAGTTATGTCTACTATCCACTGTTTGTCTTTTGTGAACTTTTTAAATTTCATTTCAATCTTTCCAAGTTGGTGGTGCACACCAGGGATTCCCAAACTGTGGGCCACCGGGCTGCATGAATGGCTGGCCAGTACGTGCGCATACACCCCCCCCACTCATGCTAGCATCATCAGAAGTGCTGTGCGGGCGCTACTGGCCACCAACCTAGAAAGGTTGGGGAACTCTGGTCTACACCTTGGGTTTCTGATGCCTACAGCTTATTTGCTGACTGTAAAAGTATATACTTAATGTCTGTTTTGACTCTTCCACCACTGAGTTTTTTGGAATGGCCCTAATATTTTGAAAGAGGAAGATACAGTAGTCTAGTGTTTAAGGCACCAGACTAGAAACCTGGACATTGAAACCCAGAGTTTAGCCATGAAAGCTAGCTGGATGATCTTGAGCTAGTCACTCTCGCTCAGCCCAACTCAACTGTTAGGGTTGTTGCTGGAGGGACAAAGGAGGACGGAAATGTCCGATATGCTCACCACTTTGAGTTATTTGTAAAAATAATAAAAGTCGGATATACATAATATAGATAGGTTGCAAATTACTGCAAATTTGAATAATGAAATACTCATTTTAGTACAAATTGTACAATGATACCAGATTGCCTTTAATGCAACCCAAAATTCATTTAATTGTCCAGGAAGTCTCTAAGTATCAACACTGACTTGAAGGAATCAAATAAATACAAATAATTTTCTGTCAAGCTGGAACCTTTTATCCATATATAGAAATATCATTTTGAATAGTGCAAATTCAAACCATTTCATGGGATTTGTTAACTACACTAATTGAGACCTGCCTATAATCTTTTCTATTTTAATTCTGTCGCTTACCCGTAAATAGAATGACAGTGTGTGAACCATGAGATTGCAGGAATGAATGAAAATGATTCTCAAAATATATTCAACATGCTAAAATGTAGAATAGCAATTGTTTCATGAAATCATATATACCTATAATAGGTATAATAGGTAATAATTCTAGTCTGGACTGGTGGTTAAAGTGTGGAGTGTCAAGTTTCGAGGTCGTCTCAAATAAATTGCATTTCAAACAAAGTCTTTGAAGAAAAACTCCTATTTATTAAGCACGACATTCTAAACCCGACTCCATCGAAGCCAACACTGACTTCCAGCCCCCAAACCCTTCCTTTCCATTCCCCACTCCCCTGCACTCATTGGCCATCTTCCAAGTCATTCTACCCCTAATCTACTCCAAATCAAAGGAATTTCCCCCCTCCCATCCCATCTCCTAGGGGATATTATCTCCAGGGAAAATAAGTAGGTGAAAAGTCAAATGTCCCTTTCCAGATGCCTTCACTTCTCCTTCTTATGTCAGCACTAGAGTAAATGCAGCTTGAAGTGCTGACATGGAGAAGAACTGGTGAAACTTGGGTTCAAATCCTCCCTCTGTCCTAGAAGTTCACTGGGTGACTTAGAGATTTTCTTTGTCAGGCTCATCTACTTTAGTGGGCCATTGTAGCAAAACAAACTGAGAGGTGGAAGCACAATATATACCACCTTGGCTTCCTGGATGAAAGATGAACTATAATTGAAACATTCAGGAATTATTGAAAATGTACAAAGAAAATGCTTTACCAGTAATTCCTGACTTACAGCAGTTCACTTAGTGACCATTTGAAGTTACAATGGTGCTGAAAAAATGGTTTATGGCTGTTTTTCACACTTATGACCATTGCAGCATTCCCGTGATCAAATTTTGGATGCTTGGTAACTGATTCATATTTATGATGATTGTAGTGACCTGGGGTCATGTGATCATCTTCTGCAACCTTCTGACAAAGGGAAAGCCAGATTCACTTAAATCACCATGTTACTAACTTAACAACTGCAGTGATTCACTTAACAACCATGGCAAGAAAAATCATAAAACAAGGCAAAATTCACAACTTGTGTGGCTTACTAATAGAAATTTGGGGCTCAATTGTGGTTGCAAGTTGAGGACTAGCTGTAGTAATTTTATGGCCAATAGTATCAAATTTCAATTCTTTCAAGACACTGTGCTGATGGGACTCTGTCACCGCTCACTGACATAAGCATGTATTTCACCTTTTATTGAAGGAAGGAATATGCTTTGTGCTATCAAATGACAAGGTCTCAACCGTCAATCTTTCAGACTCAAAGGATTCATTCAGTTTTCCAAAATGCTTCTTAAAGTGTTATATCCAGTGGTGGGATTCAAATAATTTAACAACTGGTTCCCGGCTCTAATGATTTTTTCCCAACAACCAGTTCACCAAACTGCTCAGAAAGTTAACAACCGGTTTTCCCGAAGTGGTGCGAACTGGCTGAATCCCACCACTGGTTATATCCATACCTACCTAGAGCAGCAGTTGGCATAAGTTTGATGTGGTCATTCCAATGTATGTCGCTACCCACCTCAAGTTCATGACTCTGCTAAATATGTTTTCTAAAACAGAATACATGCCTGATGCCCTCAAAAATGGAAATATCCACAGAGAATATATAGTAAACATTGCACTGCAACGTGTTTACCCAAGAGAAGGACAGATGTTACAGGGACACTGTAATCTGCTTGAAACAATTGAAGGATGAATTTGCATTCTGTTTGGAGAGCCATGCTGCACAAATTACACAAGACATTTGTAAAGGGAGCAGATACATAAAAATAGGAGAATAGGGGAAAGTTATATTTCAATGTTTGAGCACAGGATTGTGTTCAAGCAGGAGTGTCAAACTCGCATCGTCACAGCAATATCACATGATGTATCGCAACTTTCCCCTCTTCGCTAAACTGGGGGTGGGCATGGCCAGTGCGTGACGCATCCTGCCTGCAAGTCGCAAGTTTGACAGCCCTGTGTTAAAATAACATTCTAGCCCTTTCCCCACAATAAATCAGATCACCTCATGAGAGTATAGCATGCTGTGGGAACACCATAAAGATCAATTGACCCAATCAACAGACTCTATCTTATGGCTAACCGTTTCCGGACCAAGTGTCCAAAGCGTGCAAGTGCGCGCGTGTGTACCTGAACCCCCAAAATGCAATGCGCACGCATGCCCCCCATGTGTGCACAGCCCCCCGCATGCCCCCCATCCCTGCACATGTGCTCATTGCCCCCTGCACGCGCCTTGCCCCACGCCTGCGCATGCGTGGCAGAGACCCAATGACCAGCTGGCTAGTGGGAGGCGGGCACATGCATGGCGGAGCTGAACTGGGGCAACAGCTCGCGTGCCCACAAAGAGGGCACTGAGTGCCACCTGTGGCATGCATGCCATAGGTCTGCCATCACGGGTCTATGGGCATTACAGCTTAGTCCCAAACAAGCCTGGTTGTGGTTCAACTAAGCTAACTTCAGCCCTGTTTGAGGAACATGAAAGTTCAATTGCTTTGTGTTGCAGTCTGGTCCTCCAAGAAACAGAGCTGGAGAGGATAGAGCAGCCAAACACATGACTCCATCCTAAATCCTCATGGATCAATCAGGCCAATAGGCTAGAGATCTTAATGAAGCCCAGACAGGCCTTATGTGGAATGAGTGGATTTCTATGACCCCAAATTGTGATTTTAAATCCCATTTAGTCTGACCTCACTGTGGTCTACACCAAAACTGCCGCTAAGAAGATTTAGCTGAATGAGTGGCTTCAGTGGAATAAGCATTTTGTGAGAAGAAGGGTAAAATATTTTTGGACCACATAATACTGCACTCAAGATTTGAGATGTCCGTTCCTGTGTTATAGATAGAGGATACCTCTTTTTCTTCATTTAGCAATTGATCTACTCAGCATGAAGACATCCAAACTTAGATGCACATCTACAAACTCCACCAACAGAGTTCTTCATATCAGACCATCCTAAGCCAATTTTCAGGTTCCTCTATAGTATAGTGAGCATATTTATTTGGGGTGGGGGGACTGGAAAGGGCAAACAATTTAATTCCTATGTTGATAACTTTGCTTTGCAAAGGACAATTCCAGAGAAAAATCACACACACAAAAAAAAATCTTATTTGAATGAAAATATCTAACATTAAACTGCACCAAGAAGCCTTGGTGGCGCAGCAGACTAAAGTGCTGTTAAGTAGCACTTAGCTGCCAGCTGCCTTCAATTACTGCAAGTTCAAACTCACCAGGCTCAAGGTTGACTCAATCTTCCATCCTTCCAAGGTAGGTAAAATGAGGCCCCGGATTGTGGGGGCAATAAGCTGACTTTGTATAAAAAGAACACCGCTTAGGAGGGGCCAAAAGCCCTACTAAGCAGGTATATACAAAAAGTATGAAGGCTATTGCTTAACGCATTGTAAACTGCCCTTAGTCTCCGGAGAAGGGTGGCATATAAATCAAACCAACAAATAAATAAATAAATATGTAAATTTAGGTTAAAAAGACTATTTCATGGCCGTATTTTCCTCATGAATAAGAAATACTGTGCATTAAGTTATAT